CCTCTCCTCTGAGACGCCCGCCCGCCCACCCGGGGCCTTGCAGCCCCTTCCTCCGGGAGGACTGTGCGGCCCTGCAGGGAGGCGGCGCCCCAGGCGTCACAGCTGGTGACACCGCCACAGGGTCAGCCTGCTCCCCAAGGGAACGGGAAGTGGGGAGTAGGGAGGGAGCTTCCCATGCCCCATCCTCACCTGAACACCCATCACACTTGGCAGAGACAACCTCAGGCCCTGCCATCCACCTCCCAGCATGGAGCAGAGGCCGCCTCCTCCCCCTCCTTCCCCTCTTCTTCCTCCTCTTCTATCTCCTCTTCCTCCTCCCTCTCCTTCTTCCTCTCCCCCCTCCTCCCCTCTCCTCCCACCACCTACACAGGAGCTTAATGGCTCCCAGCACCAGCCGGGCAGGCAGGCTTCTTACCCCCTCTCCTGGGAGCCTCCCTGTCTCATCTCATCCTCTGACCACAGAGCAGTTCACCGAAGGGGCGGGGAGTGGGGCGCGCTTGGTGCCTGGGACCTCCACGCCCCCAGACGCGGCCTGACCACAAACCCGCGTCCAGCCTGCGGGCCCAGGAAGTGGAGAGAAGGACCCCGGCCGTCGGCACAGACGGAGCCACCGGCTCCAGGCGCAGGCTCCGCCGGCACAGATACGGGGACGCCCAAGCGACCAGCACAGGGGACAGAGCCCAGCCAGTGACCCAGGCACCACAACCCCCGCGCTCCACTCACAGAGCACGGCCGGCTTCCCTAGACGGCGGCGAGGAACACGGGTGCCCACCACGCTACCTTATCACGTGTCTCAAGGAGCCAGCTGGAAAGATGTGCGTCGTTACGGTAATGGCTGCTTCACACAGTAGAGACTCCAGGGTCCCCCGACGGCTTAGGCTTCCTGGCTTTTCAATACGGAACGGGAACCATTTCTGTAACGAAGTGAAAGGCATTTCGAGAGAAGAAACGAGCTGTCTTTCTCCTCCTCCCCAGGAATGTCGCTCAGAGCCACGGCCCAGGAGCAGGAGCTGCCTGGCTGTGGGACCCCCGAGCTCACACTGCCTCTCGGAGCCTCAGTTTCCCTATCTGTCAGATGCCACACTCGCCATGCTCAGCTGCTCCCGCCGTCCTCACGATGAGGCGGGGACTAGCAGCCATGCCCACAAGGTCAGGTGAGGAGGCCTGGCCAGCCCGGCCCCGCCCCCACCACCTGTGCCCATTGGCTCAGTCCTGTCCCCCTGGGCACCCACTGACCCTGCACCCAGGCTGGTGCGGAACTAGAGGCCCAGCACCCTGTCCTCCTCGCAGCCACGCGCAGAGCGTCCCCTGCTCAAGGCGGCCAGGCCACGCCACCACCCGGAGCAAGGAGGTGTGTCCCCGTTTTACAGGGGAAGGAGCCCGCCCACCCACATACACCAAACCCAGATGGAGACTGCGGCCTGGGCCCCTCCGTGGGCCCCTCCTCCCCAGCCGTCAGCACACCACCCAGCACCCCTTCCGAAGGGCCAGGTGCCCCGCTGAGGGCTGTGGGCGGGGTCCCGGGAGGACGGGGTGCATCCATCCTAAGAAAAGGCCGCACGTAAACAGTTATCAAGTCAGTTAATATTGACACAACACTCCGACCGACAGTCCCCACCCAGTGACGTCCTTCACCCCGAGTCCCAGGCTGCTTCCGCCGCCTCGGATCTGGACCTGCTCCTGGGCCTCCGACAGAAGCATCCTCAGCGTTTCCATTTCATCCATGAGAAACGGAAGCTCAGAGAGGTTGGTGCACTTGCCCAAAGTCACACAGCCAGGGAGCGCCCGGGGGTTCCCTCGGAGGCCCGGGTTCCCGTCCTCCAGACAGGAGGCCTCGCGAGTCATCGCCCCGTTAATGATTGCAGACAGCGCGCCCTCTGCAAACAGCTGGCTGCCAGGTGCTCACTAACTGCTGAGTGCCTCCC